GAATTAGGGGCAGGCTGTGCCTACAGAGCACAGCAGATTTGCCACTGCCCCCCGTGCTAGAAGCATGCTCTAGTTTCTCCTGCTTTCTAGCTACAAGCAGGGTCTCTAGAGAAACCTCTTTGCTTCCAGCTGGGCAAAGCTGACGCAAAAAGCGCACTGCCACATGGGAGAAGCATAAAATCAAGTAATAGAGTTGGATAGCTAGCTCAAATAGCCAGCAGGTAATGACACATGAGAAGCAGCCGCGCTGCCCCCAGCTTGGGGGCCCTTTGCTGCAGCCTTTGGACCCACAGCACTGATAGGAAGGAGAGCGCTTTCAGTGCGGTTCTCAACACCTACTGACATACTCCATGGACTTAATTTCTGCCATGCTTCCTGACAGTGCTTCCCGCCAAAGCATCGGTTTGACAGCACAGAAAGCTGGTCTCCACCCTAGCACTAGCTGCAGCAAACAGAATACTTCATTGGGAAGTACAAAAGCATCCAGTGCTTTGCTGTCGGGTTTGAAGCGCTCTCGTCCTCAGTGGTAGATGAGAGGGCAGTAACAGCAAGAGCTATTGTTTCAAAGACCAGCTCTATATGGTGCTTTAAGTGCCCCGTGGCATTGAAGAGGCCAGCCCCAAGCAGTCTCTTTTATGGCCCACTATTACTGGGGGGCATGTGCATGGGGAAAGGCAGTCTTGAAAAGCAAATTCCTGCTCCTATCATCTCCCAGACCCAGCAAAACAACTCATGCACAGCACTTGGCGACTATTTAAAGGAGTCAGCCTGACTGCTTAATTAATTGACCAGGCAGCTACATGAGACCTGCCTCCCCAGCCTCTTTGATCTTCGTCAGGGGTAGGTCGCAGTTGCTCCTCTGCAGAACACCAGTGCAGTTCAAGCCTGTCAGGTTTTGTTCTGTGGCTCCCACAGATGCCTCCCATGCCATAACATCTACCAGGGATCATCATCCGACAGCACACGGCGACGCTGCTGCTTTTTTTCAGAGACACGAGAAGAAAATGGTGCTCTTCCTGCCTGCAGGCAGCACAAAGGAGGCCCATCACCTTCCAGGAGCAGAGCCTTGTTTTTACAAGGTTCCCAAAAGCTTTCTGGGCAAGCTTGTAGGCAGGACCTCTGCCGAGCAGCTGCAGTCCAGCAGGCAGCTCTGCGTGTCCTCAGAAGCACTTCCTATTCAAATAGGAGATAAGCTAATGCAGCCTCCGCGATGAAGCATCCTTATGATGCTTTTTGTTCTGGTACTTTTATCCGCCCAGGAAATCTCTGCTCAGAGGCAGCATGTTCAAACAGATCCTTTAAAAAAAAAAAAACCCTCAGAGATAACGGGGCCTTTCCCCCCTCAGACAATGGCGAGGATAAAGGGGGAGGATATGGAGGAGGGAGGAGTATGACATTAAAGAGAAAGAAAAAAAAATTTCCTATTGTCCTGGAATGCTTCTCCACATACTGATTCCATATGGAGCAAATACCAAGGGATATTTCTGCCACCAGACTGTCCAGAAAACCAGAACTAACACATGTTACTAAACAGTCCCAGTTCAGTAACCCAGCTTTAAGGAACCCCTGTTCTGCTCCATTAGTACTACTGACCTCTGAAAAAAATTATCCAGAACCCTTAATTATCAAGAACCAGTCGCACTAGAAACATATTTTCAACATATTCATTATTTACTGGTTCGCAACTCAAATGCTTTAACCGGATGCTCTAATAGGAGGAAAAAAAGCCAAGTAGAGGTTGCCAGAGCTCCAGCAGAGCTGGAGGAAGGATATCTAGTGACTTCCATGTGTCTGCTGTCAAAAGGAAAAATGAGTTGAGAGCAATAGCATAGGTACATTAGCATAAGAACCAGAAAGAGAATGACTAATAGGAAGAAGCTGAACACTCACTTGTGCTGCCTTATCTGCTGTATTGAAAATCTCTTGGCTGGGTCGTATTCAAGCATCCCTGAAAAGAAGGAAAAAAAGTCCAGGTGTGATCACAGATGCTCTCAGCCAAGTTGAAGACAGGAAGCACAAAGCTCTACCCTTCCCTCCCACCTCCCGCCCCCAGCAGTGACTGCTGTGTCCAGTCCCCCTGGCAGCCTAGGGAGCCTTTCCCTCCAGGAAGAATCTGCTGCATCAGCCACGGGAAGCTCAGCACAAACCCCCGACTTCATTGCTGACCACCTGATCAAGTCTGTTCCTCAGTTTCCCCACCTGAAAATTGGATATGACCCTTCCCTCCTTCACACTGCAGGGACAGAGGCCTGCTACAGCCCCAGAGCACAAGTCCAAGCAAGTCTCCAGGCAAAGAACATCAAGATTTTGCATTTCATGGATAATGCCATCGAACTTTCTCCACGGAAGAGCCAAAGCCTTAGGCATAGCATATATCCAGTTGCTCAGCATCCCAGAAACTCTAGTCTAGTGAAATTCTATTCTGGAAGTACAGCTGGGGAGAACTGACAAAAATAAGTAATCCTACTGTCCATCCTGTCGCCCTGGCCAGGAGTTTGATGTCTGGCATCATCTGCTAAGATAACTGGGGTGGGGGGGAGAAGGAAAGTAGTTCATCCGTATTCTCTCTAATGAGAGGGAGGTGGATTCCTTAAACAGACTCATGAGATGCCCACTCTGCTCCACTGTCTTTAAAAAGCTTCACAACTCAACAGAAGGGAAGCAGCAAATTTTGCCGTGTGCTTCAGAACCTAGGCAACAGGACCTAACGGGTCTCATCCAGCAGCATCCAAGATATTCTCCAATGAAGGCTCTAAGAATATGTTCACCTAATAAATGTTAACAAAGTCCTACTGCTGTGCATTACAAGGAGTTTTGCTTTTGCTGACGATACCCCTTTGTTGCTTGTGAAGCACCAGCACTGTTGAGTCTCGCACAGGTAGCATGAAGAGTAAGGTTTTGGAAAGAGAGGAGGACCCCATCTCTAGCAAGCAGAGGAAAAGAAAGGCTGGGAAGCAGAACAGACAGCCAAACAGGAGTTAGGAGAGTCGGGGCAAGGAGCAAACAGCGCAGAGTGGTGGGGAGAGCCAGTACAAGGACACATCGAAGACACAAGGACGGGAGATACATTTGGATGGATGCTTAGGAAGGGAGGGCTGGAGAGACACTGTAGTTCAAATAAGAAATTGCAAGGGCTTTGCAGATGAGTTTCTGCGATACTGTTGGACAAGGGTAACGGAGGAGATAAATCACCAACAGCACATGCGGTAACACAAGCTGATCCAGAACATCTTCCTTGTCAGTTCAGTTTGTATCACATTACTAACAGTAACAAACATGGGCACAGACAAGGTGTAGCGCAGAAGGACTGAAGAAGTTTCCCACCCCCCCAAAACCAAAATACAGTTTGCCATGGCAATTTGTAAAGGTTTATCCATGCTGACAGCACTAGTAGCTTTAAGGCAGATGGGGTCACTACTGATCCACATTACATCACTACAAAGTGGGTTAAAGAAACACTGGAAGACCTCTCCATGTTCGAGAAGGTCAAGTGCATCACAAGCATCTGGCCCGATGAACTCAAGGCACTAGAGTCTTCAGAGCCCAACTCTTCAGAGCTCTTCAGACAGAGCATACCGGAAATTTATGCTTGCCTTGCCAAGACCATAAACCCCACCATATGGCTATGCTAGAGTGACACGGCTGAGCTCAACTGGAGCTAAAGCAATGGCTTCCTGCTCAGGAGCTCTAAACCTTGAGAATAGTTCCTTATCTTGGATATCTTCTCCCCCAAATAGGCCGAAGCCCTACAAGCAAGCAGCCAGCAGCCCAGGCTGCAGCTACAGATGAAAACAGCATGTGGCAGGAGGTGATTAATGCCAGCGACAGCACCAAAAACTGAACAGCTCCACTGCTAGGTCTGCTACCGAGGGACACCGCCAAAAGAGTATTTTGTGATGGTCTTACAGTAAGGGCGAGAGAAGGGAAGTTACCGTTGAGCCACCTTCAGCACAGAAGGGACTTGACCCTGAGTCTCGCTGTCCTGCAAAGCGCTGCAACACTTGTAATACAACATCTAGGTGCTTTTGCAGGGCTAATTCCAAGTTGTTTCCTCACCTTAGCCACAGTTAATGAAACGATGCTAGAGAAAGCCCTCTTTTTTTCAGTGAGTTACACGAAACAAACACCCTTACAGTTACAAACCCATAGTTATCAGTTTAACACTGAACACAGCCTTTATCAGGGACTTTCTCCACAACAAGAGTCCTTGCAACACGCACTCCTCCTTTCTTCTGTACTCCAGCACGTGTCCGTAGCAGTCCCCGCACCCTTCTTGGAACTGCAGAACAGCCGAGGTTGGAAGGGACCCCTGGAGATCACCTAGCACAACCCTCTTGCTCAAAGCAGGGTCAGCTTGCCCAGGACTGTGTCCAGTTGGGTTTCAAATGTCTCCAAGGATGGAAACTCTACAACCCCCCATGCAACCTGTTCCAATGCTCAACCACCTTTGCAGTAAAGGAGTTCTCTCGCAGTCAGATGCAATTTCTCCTCACCTCACAAGAAAAGTAGTAATAACTGGAAAACAAGATGGGAAGGTGGTTCAGAGAAAAAAATCCCACACCTAATTAAATAACCTATTAATAAGATTGTTAGACAGTAGCTTCGCAGCTGAGCTGCCCAGATGTGTTGGGGTTTTTTTATTTTTAAAGAACTAGGACTGCAAAGAGATCTTACATGAGGTCTAGGGGACACCAAAGCAAGGTTATCTTAGTAACGCAATCACAAACAGGTAAGTCAGGACACCAACCTTCTCCCCTCCCCCAGTTTATTTCTTTAAAGACCACATTTCAAGGTGGTTTTGGAATCCAGCTTGTCATCATCAAGTTCAGGATGAACTTCTGCACATCCAAGCAGACACAACTGGAAACTCTTCATATCAATATGAAGCACAGTGGGACTCCCTCAAGGCCCTGGCACTTTCAGTTTGGGATTAATTTCACTAAAGAGGAGTTGGGGCACCCTCATAAGCAACTCACTTCGACCAAAGGAAAAAGGGAGATCTGCAGCAGTTCAGACACTGTTTGAGGAATGCCAGGGCTAACAACAAAATTTAAGGCATTTACCAGATGAAACCAGTACAAGCAGAGGATAAAGTTCTAAGGTAAGTTATCGAGAGGCCTAACAGCAGCGGTTACAAATAGCTACGGTGTGGAGAGCTGTATTGTTCTCAAGCAATGCAAGAGGCATAAAGATAACTGAGCAAAAAGAATATTTACTTTAATGAAAATGGACCATATTTTGGGCAATGTTTGGAAAAAAAAAAAATGGAGAGCCCAATCACCAAAAATATATATACATGCGTTCAGCTCTGACTCACTCATGGCAGCTCTGTGGCTGAAGTCCTGTACAGAAAAGAGACTTCATCAAGACAAAACATCACGTACTATTCACCAGCCAAGTCATCCAAGAGTGCCTGCCCACAGTAACCACACACACTCTACCATTTACGGTAAAGATTTCCATGCAGTTTATCTGCGCGTAGAGCCGAGACTGTAACAGGGCGACTCTTCAGGAGGATGCCTAACTCGCAAACCTCTGCTCCCGTGGTATTCCAGAAGGATTTGCTGTGCCCATAGAAGGGATATCGGGCCCATTTCAGCACACCGGCAGTCTCAACCCCCTTTCAAATTATGTCAAGTGGCAATTGGGAAACTGGAGACCACGAACCTGTCTTGAGCTCCTCACAGAGTCCAGCCCCCACACCCCAATAATCCTGAACAAGCATAGCGTTGTATCCTGCGGTAGAATATCGAGGTTTTAGCAGACAGCATGGTCTTAGGTGCGGCATTTGAGAAGCCAGAAGAAATATAACAGCAAGAGTTAATGGACTCAACTTGGATTTCACTTCAGAGCCTCCAACTGGGATCAACATTGCAAACAAGCAATATAAAACAAGACAGGACTTCTTCCCTCTCCTTCATCCTCTACAAGCACAGCCAGGCATTCTGACCAGAAACTCCCTTTGCAGGCAAACCTTCAGTCTTTGGTCAAACACCCGTGGAAGCCTTGCCCCTGGACGGGTGAGAGACACCAGCCTGCCTGACTGTTGGCTCCGGGGACACCCTGTTTCTGCAGAATTAAAGCACCCCCCTTCCATCAGAACACACATCCTCTCACCATCGCTGTAAGGTCACAGCAGTTACACAGAAGCGAGAAAACAAAACACTGAGGAACCAACCAACTTGTCCCCAGCCACAAAGTCTGTAGCGGAGCCTGGAAATCAATCCAGATGCTTAATGCAGAGACTGCAGTCTCAGAGCTTTCCCTTTCAGTAAAAGTACATCAGAAAAGGAGAAAGAAAAGCTGACCTGGTGCATTTTTCTTGTCCAGAAGCAAACTGCATACAAGTTGGTAAGTCACGTGCAGACGGTGACAGAAGAACCCTAAGGCTATTTACAAACCCTTCCACCCTGGCACATCTTTATGACTACACACAGGAGCCAGAGCAGTACCAGCCCCTCTCTTTTCCATCAGCAAAGAGTACAAATACAGCTTCATCCCTGATTAGGGAGACAGAAAGAGGAGCAGCATCCCAACTAATCTGCTAAAATACACCGTCATGCGAGTCTCTTTACAAGTCAAATACCACAGAAGCTTTAAGTCCTCTAAATTCTGCTTCATCTGGAAAGAGGAACAAAGACATAAAAACCACCTCAAGGGGGAAAAAGTAAAAAAATACACCCAAAAAAGTAGTCAACAGAAGAACAGGAAAAAACCTTAAAAAGCGTATTCTAGCATTTGCCTCACAGCCAGACCAGTGCTATGGTCAATGCAGCCCTTCTAGCCGGGGAGGAAACAAGCACTTTGTAGCACACCGAATTCTTCCTTACAACAAAACCAGAACAAACGCTTGCAGCACTGCAGAGTGCTTTAAGAGTCTTTTAAAAGCAACGCAAAGGCGAAACAAAGTCCCTAGTGAGATAGAGCTGGGCTGTGGGTGTCTGCTGCTCACATAAAAGCATCAGCCAGCCATTGACAATATCTGATCCGCAGGCTTCTGATTCAGTTTCAACCTGCTGCAGAAGTAGCAGGCACCTACCAGGAAACGCAGATGTTCTGGAGGAAAAGCATGAACTAAATAAAGCATTTAGGTTTTGTCACCATAGCTACGTAGTATTACCACTGCAAGCCTCAGCCTTCGTCTTCAGCAGAAGCCTTGCTATCTGCTGGGCCGTGGGGATGCTCAGGCCTGCCCAGCGTGGAGGGAGCCGGCAATCCCACTCCGTATTGCAGCCACCTCAGGCCCACTGGGCACTCCAACCACTAGAAGTAGTAAAGCGTGCCAAACCAAACAAGGAGAATATCAGGAGGTTTTGCCAGCTTTCAATGTGTAACAGGTACCTACGACAAGATGAGGGCCAGGAGAGTGTTCTCAGGTGGGACGGAGGGAGGACAGTAAAAGGAATCCTTAGTATTTCCCACTGCCCTGGAAGAAGACAGAGACACAGACATCCCCCCAGGGCAAGCTCCTCTGCCTACTTGCATTTCTGCAGTGCCCAGGCACAGAAGGAATGAAGACAGACAGCAGCTAGGAGTAGCTTTCTTCCCCGAAAGGGCTGTCAGGGACTGGAAGGGGCTGCCCAGGGAAGGGGTCGAGTCCCCATCCCTGGGGGGATTTAACAGCCGGGCAGACGCGGTGCTGAGGGCCAGGGTTTGGGGGTGGGATGGCAGGGGTAGGGGAACGGTTGGACTGGGGGAGCTGAAAGGGCTTTTCCAACCTAAATGATTCTGTGATTCTATGAAGGGGGCAACTCAGGCTGGAAGAGATGGACAAAGGGCATCAGGTGCGAGGCTTCTCTCTTTAAAATGAGGCAGAAGGAAAAAGTAGGAGATTCTGACTCCAGGTCTCATACAGGGGCTGGAAAGAGAACTAAAAAGGGAGTTATTCTGCTAATGAAGCGTAAGATTTGAAGCTATCAATATCCTCAGGACAAGAAAAAAAAGAAACAACTGCCACGCTCATTTTCCCTGGGGGACAACACTAAGTGCAGCAGAGAGGCTTATCGCAAACCTCAAATGATTTCTGCTGGATGCTTTAGAAGATTGGCTGCCAGTCTAGATGGACCACTGGTTTTACTCCATTTGGGTAATTCCCAAGCTCATAAAAAAGGCCGTGTTTTGAGTCAGCATTCACAAATCAAACGCCACACGTAGACCGGGAACATCGTTCCCCGGGGCGCAGGGCTACGACACGAAGCACAGATCAGTCGGGAGTGCCGAGCTGTGAGCAGTAGCCGCGTTGGTCTCGGCAGAGCGGCCGAGATGCCAGCTGTGCCGAGTGCAGTTGGAAGCAGCGCCTTACGTAATGCTTCCCGAAAGCTGTTAAAGCTAGCTAATGCTTTTTGAAACACACGGAAATAACTTATTTTGTAATCAGTACGGGGCCCGGTAAGCTAAAATAGGCTCCTGCGAGTGGGATTGCAGGGGGTCTGCCACCCCTCGGCAGC